GGGTTTTGCTTCATCATTGCCACAACAGGACAGGTCATTGCCTCTTTGGGTGCTACTGTCTCCTTCTCCGTAGCCTAGGCCTTTGTGGAGGCTCGTGAACGCCCGCTTCAGAGGCTTGGAGTCTCGGTAAGACAAGAGAATGGCGGCAATGGCAGCTCAATTTGGAGTGTGTTTAAAGCGTCTATAGACCGTTCTATTAGGGTATAGGAGAGAGGATAATACAGAGAAAAAATGCCCTCCCCCTCTCACCCCGCATGTCATCTGCCCCGCCGAGTGGGCTGTACCTAGCATCCGGCTGGCGTGCCAACTGTTTAAAATCGCGTTATTTTGGAAATTTCAAGCCCCGATGCGGAGATTTTGGTATGCGAGTTATCGTAAAATACTATGCTAGATAAAAAGACTAACAGGATCGAATTGCGGTGTTACCTGCGTACAAATAAAAAAATGGGAATGCTGTGTTGATTGGCCGGTCTTTCCGGCAAAGAGGAAGAAGTTTTCGTTTCGGGCGGACGTCATCGAGGAGAATGCCATGGACAATCAAGGGACCCCCGGTCCACCGACTCTGAGCCCGGCGGGGTCCATATCGGCAAATTCAGAAATCGAGGAGATGGAGTCAGCGGTAAGCCTAACATCTGGCACCTGCGGGCCCTAGACCCCGGCGAATGCAACGCAGTCACCGACGTCCGATGTCACGACTATTGACATACACTGGCTAACATTGCGTCTTGGTGTCGTGAAAATAACATGAAGATTAATATTAGCAAAACTCAGTACATGCACATAACAACAAAAAGAACTGTCTTAAACTTTAGCTATGAGGTTGCTGGCGTAGTATTGACTGAAGTGGACCGTTACAAATATTTAGGAGTGATTTTGTCTTCTGACCTCGGGTGGAAAAGGCATGTGGAGTATGTTAAAAAGCGGGCAACTAACAAATTGTGGTACCTGAAGAGAACGCTGGGTAAAACTCCCCCTTCCGTTAAAATTCTTGCGTATAAGACAATTATTAGACCTGTGTTAGAATACGCGTCTGCAGTGTGGAGCCCATGGCAGAGCTCTCTGGTCAGAGAACTCGAAGATATTCAGTCGCTAGCTGTGCGTATAGTTTTTTCAGATTTCAGACGAACTACGTCTGTGACCGAACTTAAAAGGAGAGCCAATATAACCCCTCTGTCAAACAGAAGAGAGAGCCAACGGTTGAAGCTGTTCTTTCAGATTTTCAAGAACTGTATAAAAATTGATGGCTCCGTTTACTTAAAACCAAAAAGTTTTTACTCGGAACGCTTGCATCACTCAAAGACCGTAGCCCCTATTAAAGCTCGAATAAATAGCTATAAACAATCTTTTTTTGTGCATACAATTGATTTGTGGAACAGCCTTCCCGGGGATGTTGTCGATATTGATTCACTCTGTTCTTTCGAAAAAGCCGTAGATAATATTTTTCAGTGCTAGGATTGCTTTTATTGCTCTTATGAAATTATTTTACTGTCTTTATTTTTTATTACTGCTGTTACATTTACTGCTATACTGTTATTGTTATTACTAGTATTACATTTGGTTACTGTATTGTTTCTCTTCTTTCGAATATGTCGTAGATATTAATTTTCGGTGCTAAGATTGCTTTTTGTTTAGAACTGTTGTGTTTATAATGTGCATGTGTGACACTGTATCACCCCACTCCTGCCTTGGCCCTATATTGGGCTGGCAGTATTGATAAATAAAATAAATAATAAACTTGACACGGGACTTCTCAGGCATCTGGGAATTTCAAAAGAAGACGTAGGAAGACTGATAACTGAACTTCTGGTCCACTACGCGCAAGGCACGTTGAATCTAAGAAGCGCCATTCCACAAGACGTCCCAAAAGAAGGGACAGTGACCCAGCCAACGCCCGACTGCAAAATGGTCTACCATTAACCTTCGAATGATTTTCCGGCACTGAACGACCCGCAAGGTAAAACAAACGATTCTCTCGGAGTGTCGCAAGCTACGCTTGCCGGTGAAGGAAACGGCTTTTTAGACCATGTTTCCCAGCTAGACAATTGGCAAGTGAGCAGAAATAAGCGTCGACGCAAACGAGCTACGACGCCAACAGAAAATCTAGATGTGAAAGCGTCAGATGAGACCGAAGAAAAGACAAAAGGCCAAGCACCTACACAAACGGTGGTACTCAAGCCTATATGCCGCGAGGATATCAAAACATTCGGATCAAGAGAGATTAAGAATGCTGTGGAAAAAGCGGGAATTACGTGCGAGGAAGATTATAAGATACGAATCCAACCCAAGACGAACACGATCGCAATAAACACACGTAACGAACATACGACAGAAAAACTCCTTAAAATCACAGAACTGAACAGGAAAGACAAAGCATACGCCCTGCGACCATACAAAGCCATGGGAAATAATCACAGTAGAGGGGAAATGTATCTCAACGGAGATGCCAGTGAAGAGACCCCCGAGACTCTGTTAGCCGATCTGGAGTGCCGGACGGCAAAAGTCGTTTACGCAAGGCTTATGGGAAAATATAGCACTGCTGTAGTCATCACCTTCGATTGCACCCGGCTGCCTAGAAAGGTGGTCTTCTCTAGACAAATCTTCAACGTAAAACCCTACAGAGCAAGACCGATAGTGTGCTATAACTGCCATGTCCTAGGTCATATGGCCGAAGTCTGCCCCTGCCACGAGCGTCGATGTGGATCTTGGCGGCTACATCCACGAAGAGGATATGGAGGACTGCAAAAGGGAACCGCAGTGTCGAAATTGCAACGGACCCCATGTCGCTACGAGCAAGGACTGCCCCAAGCGCAAGATTCCAGGGAAGAAATCTTCACAGCTAAGACAACCACTGCGACCGCAGAGGACCAGCTATGCGGATGCGATTAAAGTAGTCGATTCGACACAATCCACGGTCCAAGTCAACAGTTGTGACCCGAGCGGTTCACAAGAACGGGCTTCAACGGACTGGGTTCCAAACTGGGCCAAGATAATCGCCAATTAAAACAAGCCAAAACCGCAGCCGCAGCTGACTGAAACGAAAGAGAAAGGCACGGCACGGGTGGACGAACGGCACGCTACCAAAGCCGAACTGAAACGAATAGAAACCAAGGTAGACACAGGATTCGGCGTCATATTCCAAGTGCTGGAAGAAATCCGCAAAGACGTATTTGAACTAAAAAAAGACCTACTGCCTGGACGCTAGAACCCGAACGATTGGACGGATTACCACGAAAAAAACCCGGATCACTCAATGGAATTGCTCCTCTTTCCAGGCCCGAGGGGCAGAACTTAAGCTCCGCTTTGAACACCAATCTCCGCCTCAGGTTTCACTCCTACAAGAGACCAGAACGCCCCACATGACGCTACCGTGCTATAACTTCTACACCGTACCTACAATACGAACGCGTCTTAGTTATAGGGAGAAGTGCCCCATGGAGAAAAAAGGCTGGGCAGCTGTGGGTGTGCTTAGACACATCCCTCAGGCACAACTGGACACGTCAAAACTCTGCTCAGAAGAAAGAGAGGTGGTTGCGGTGCGCCTTAAAAATGGCAAGCAGCGACTTGTGGTGGCCTCAGTCTACATTAGACCTAAGGCCAAACCAGAAGAAGGAGAAACAAAAAGCTGGATCCGCGATCTGTCAGAGCTGGCCGATAAAGATCAGCTGGACATCGGAGGTGATTTTAATGCACAACATAGGATTTGGGGTTACCGTATTAACACCAGGAAGGGTAGGGACATCGCCGAAGCTATGGAGGAGATTGGGCTCACACTACAAAACGAAAGTGGTGTTAAGACCAGGCTAGCCAAGCAAGCCCGGCAACATGACACCACTCCTGACCTAACGTGGGCCTCAAAGTCCCTGCCTATCCGATGGACTCTATGGAGGGACAATCTAGGCAGCGATCACTACCCCATAGATGTTACCGTAGAGCAGCATAAGGACGGCAGGACCAAAGAAGCACGACCGATCATCCGATTGGACCACTTCATGGAGATACTACTACAGAACCTTGACGAGAAAAGCAGCATTGAGGAAAGCATCCAGCAGGCGATGTCAAAGGCTAGAACCACAGTCATGGTCAAGCCTGGAGACCCAACACCAGACGTGCACCTCTTAAACTTGTGGGCTAGCAGACTGCAGGCCTTGCAACGTTTCAGAAGGAATAGAACCACACGACACAAGGTTAAGCTCAATCTAGCGTCGGCAAGAGCAACCTGGTACAGCAAAGAACTCAGCCGACACAAGTGGAGGTCTCACTGCGAGTCCTTTAATGCAAGAACCGGACTCGGCAAGGCCTGGCGCACGTAGCGCGGCATGGAAGCGAAGAAAAGACGCACAAGAAATGCAGCGCAGAATCTTGCACTTCGGTTAAACATAACGGAAGACGAGCTTGCCACCCAAGCCGCTCAGCTATTCTTCCCTCAGGCAAACCTGCATGACAGAACGATGAGGCACAACCGGAAAGGTTGGAGGGTCTGCCCGCCGAAAGAACCTGGCATAGATGAAGCGATCAACATGGGTGAGCTCCTAGAGGCAGTGCACACGACCAAAACGAACAGTGCACCTGGGCCAGACGGCATCACTTATACGGCTCTCAAGAACCTCCCGGCTGCAGCTAAAGAGAGCTTGCTTGAAGAGTACAGCCGAATATGGGATAGAGGGGAACTGCCCAGCCACTGGAAGCTGTCCTGGGTCACACCTATACCCAAGCCAGGAAAACCGCAAGATAAGATTGAAAACTTCAGGCCGGTCTCACTCACATCCAACGTATGCAAAACGATGGAGAAGATAGTTCTGCATAGAATTCAGTGGTACATGGAGACTTACGACAGACTTGATGCCAGGCAGACTGGTTTCAGGGAGGCAATGGGCACCCAGGACAGTCTAGAACTCCTTTACGAGGAAGTGGTGGCCGACAAAGATGCGATATACCCAAGGCTTATTGTAGCGCTGGATATAAAAAAGGCATTTGATGAGGTTCCTCACTGGGCAGTCATTCAAGGTGCCAAAGACTGTGGTATGAGGGGTAAAACGCTTCGGTTTATAGGTAGCTTCCTCACAGACAGAATGTTTCAAGTGAAAATCGGAAAAACAAGGGGACCAGAGATGTCCAACAGCAAGGGGGTCCCACAAGGGGCTGTAATATCACCAACCCTCTTTAACATGGTGATGGCTGGTCTTCCAGCCAGACTCAGACGCGTTACGGGCCTTGGATTTACTATATATGCCGACGACATCACCTTATGGACAAAGGGAAGAGCAATGGCTAACCAGGAACAAACCATGCAGCAAGGGACAGATGAAGTCCTCGAGTATCTCCAGAATGTCGGCATGCAAGCGCCGCCTGAAAAGACTCAATTCATGGTCGTGGCCAGGCCGAGAGATCATCGAAAAAGCGTCGCGGACCAAGTAGACTTACACATCCAAGGACAGAAAATAAAGAGAGAAAAGCAAATAAAGATACTCGGCGTGACGTTCGAAGAAACAGCCCGCAGTACGAAATGGTTACCAGCTCTAGAAAAATCATGGGGACAGACTCTAAAGCTCTTGCGAAAGACGACATCTAAGTCCTGGGGAGCCGATGAAGGCACAATCAGGATTTTGACAAACGCGCTACTAACGGCTAAGGCGCTATATAGCTGTAATTGGCTCAACCTAACCAAAACGCAATGGAAGCGATTAGAACGACTAAATCACCGCACTATGAGACTTGTCACAGGACTTCTCAATTATACAGCCCTGAAAGACCTAAAGAAAAATGCAGGAGTGAACCAGATTCAAGACCGGGCGGAGGTGCAGAGCATAGCGCACTTTCAAAGGCTTGAGAGAACGAACCACGGCAGAAAGCTACTTGAAATGATGGGCTACGAGGCAGAGGGGAGACTTCCATTGGAAGACCCGGCACCACCGTGGCAGGACACAAACATCGTTGATCATCGACCCCTGCCCAGGGCGCATAACCAAGGACGCAGAGCACGAGCGGCAACACAACACGCGAAGTGGTGCGACGAACACGCGCACGAAGAGGAAATCAGATACACGGACGCATCTAAGACTGACATAACCACGGTCACGGCTTGGATCGACCCCAAGACAGGAAGAGAAAGCACCACAAGACTACCGGAAAACTCCTCCGTGCGCGAAGCAGAACTCAGGGCAATCCTTGAAGCGACCATCGATATACTGAAAAATACGGAAGGACCAAGGAGAGCGAGAATTTTTACTGATTCACAAGAAGCACTCCGGGCGCGTCGAGACGGCAAACCCAAAAGCAGAACGTTCAAGAGAATTAAAGCGATTGCCAGAGAGCTGAAAGCGAAGAACATCGTGCTGACATTAGAGTGGATTCCGGGCCATGCGCAGATTCCCGGGAACGAGTGGGCTCACCGTTTTGCAGCGGAGGCAGCCAGCAGCAACAGCTCCGCGACAGGCTCAACCACTCGGGAGGACAACGAGGAAACGGAAGACCCTGTGGAGCAGGCCGCACTGGCAAGACAAGCTAGGAAAGCCTACATCAGGGGACTCGTACCGACAGAGGATGACCCACTACCAAATGGATATCGAAGATGGGAAGCGACAAGACTTCGCAGAATCAGAACCGGCACTGCACTAACGCCCGCCAAACTGGCAGCCTTTGGGCTACTGGAGGAAGAAGACCCTATCTGCAAGGCCTGCAGAGAAAATAAGGTGGCAGGTGTCAAGCACTTACTGTGGGAGTGCAAAGGCCTGGAAGACCACAGAAAAACGGCGTGGGAAAAATTACCCGCTCAGGACGAACCAAGGAGGCTTAGCGACTGGACTCACCCCAGAGGCCAGGAGCAGCACCGAAAGGCGATCCTAGACTCCCTGGTTGAATTCATCAGGGAATCTGGGGTTCATCACTTCATTTAATAGCACCATAGTCATCCACATCCCCTCCTTATAACCCTCCATCCCCATCCCCTCGTCTCAGAGCACACCACTCATAGACGGGAATCCTATCATATAGAATAAACATGTTCTCTCTCTCTCTCTCCGGCGAAAAGTAAATCCGGTTGCTGTACCTTTTTTACATAACAAAGTTCGTACTGGTGAAGACCTTTTCCGACCATCAGTGGAAGTCTGAAATAATAAATAAAAGCGTGATCTCCTACCGCAATACATGCAGTAGTTGAGGGTAGTGCTGTGGCCTGACTGAACTGCTATTTAAGTAACGGAAAAAAGAAATTCCAGTTGACCATTTTCCGAAATAAAACAGAGAGCTATAGGCTGATTTTGGAGTAGCCATAACTCTTCTAAGAACGCGAACCACTTCACAACGGCAGCCACGAGCGAGAGTTCGTTGTTCCGAACAGCCCGCCGGTACAACCCAAAGATGGACAATGACAACCTTTCGGTTTTTCGCCTGCTAGCGGAGTCGTGCGCGTGTCCTCTCTCTCGTTTTACCCCCCGAACCCGCTGAATTTCCCGGATGTATGGAGAAGGTGCTGCTGTCGAACAAAATGTGTGCCGCCCAGAAAGCGCTAAATCGAATGGTCTATAGGCCCCCTATGGGAGCCAGAGTACCGCGTCTGTTTTCCACGTGCCACCACACCGTTATTGCCGAGATCGATCACGTGAGGAGTAAAGAAACCTGCGTCGAAAAGTAATGTAGACGACGCACGCGCCCCGGTGTATGTTCCCTGCTTTTGCCTCATTATCCTCATTTGCTGTTTTCCGTGCACGGCAGTGCTCGTGGTGCCGCTCTTTCCCGAGCTCAGTCACGTAAGCGGCCGACATCGATGGACCACGATTCCTATACGCGCGAGGAGGGGCTTTCACGCATATATTAGGATTTGAAGATGGCTAAATACGCAACTCTGGCTTCCATAGAGAGACAATGCAGGAACTCAAGCACCACCGACCCTTGCGAAACTCGACCGAACCGATACGTGCAGCTGTGGAGTTCCTGGAGTGGCCGCTGCGGTAGAAATGACGGAGTTGTGATCGCGTCAAGTTCGGTTCTCGTGAGCGCATTGGAGACATTTTTTTTTAATGCAGTTGTTTTAGTAACGTTAACTAACACGCAACCCCCACTGACGAAGAACCTTATTTGCCGCCGCGTACGTGTAAGGATAGAAAAGAAGGTTTTCTTTCAGTCTCTCAATGTAAAAGGTGACAACAAACTTGTGTGCATCGCATTGTTGCCGTCGTCTGCACTGCGATCTAAAGGATTTGTCATCAAGTTCGTGATAGTTGTTGTAACGATACTCAAATGCGGCTTATATATGGACATGGGCACTGCGCGATCATACAATTCGCGCTCATGACAATCAGTGCTTGGATCTGCATTCCGGTTCCCGATAGACATTTTGCTGTATTAGTCAAGCATCAAGAATAATGCCGAAAGTGTAGGTCTACGCGCCTCATGTACTGGTTTCTGCAGCCGTAGCTGTTCTAAGAGAAAGGCTTCTCACACATGGCATTTTGCACGCGCGTTCGTTGACGCGATTTTTCGATAATGTACTTGGAATATTTATATGGGCAAGAACACGTGGGGCGCGTAGGCCTACATTTGCAGAACTATTTTCGATGCTTGGATAATTTAGCAATAGGTGTATTGCTACGAAGGCTGGAATAGCCTAAAGTCACTGGAACCTGGGAAAGTAACGCCATTGCTTTCCCTACCTGCTAGCCGGACACAAACGGATACTAACATACAGACGACCCAAACCTCGCAAGGAGATTGGCTAAACGGCCTCCGTTGCCATGGAAATCGCCATCTTGGTCCATTTAAATCTTCGAAGCTTCCAGGGGGTCGTTCTAAACCAGTTGCGCCAAGATCACCATGGAGCATCATCGTACTGGAAGCGTTCCTCTTCAATATAAGAGTCTTTGGCACTTCGTATGCAGTCAACTTAATAATCAGGCCCATTTCCATGGATCTCTTACAATTATATTCTTCTTCTTGCGCATTTCAAGACAGTAAACGTATTTTTCAGTGCCTCCAAGCACCGACACAGCATTTGGTAGTGGTACGAACGTGTACGCCTGTTTCGCCGGTGTGTGGTTAGAAAAATCTCGGTATACAAAAAACGACTCAATAAGGCTATCCGTCACCAGCGAATTTAGATAGGCTCACCAAGAACGGAGGGGTCAAGGAGAAATCGCTCATGTCATGGACCAAGATGGCAACCACACGCGGAGCTTGGCGTTACTTTGCCAGGATCCAGTGACTTTAGAATAGCCGAACCCTAATGTCAGAAACTCGACGTGTGCCCTGTGTTTTTCAAACCCAAAGTCGTGGCTGGGATAGACATTGGCGGGATATAATTGGCTCTGTATCACGTGGCAGCTCTTCTGATTGAGAGTTGATGGGGTGACTGCTGTTCCAAATACTTTACTAGGGGGATTACATTCTACTCCTCGAAAACACAGTAGCCTCGGCGCGGACAGGTTTTCTGGGTCGAATGGTTGGACGTCCCGCCGCCGTGACGTTTCCCCCATTAAATTGGGGGCTTGGCGAGAGCCATCTATCGTAGGGGAGATCTCGGCTATCTGACGGTAAATGATGATGATGATGGTGAGGATGGTGGTAGTTCTGGATTTTTAGGCTGGCTTTTTTTCTCCAAAGGCAGTGCCCGGTGGGCGCGCCACTGGCCGTTCGATTGTCGTCTTTATATCTATATTATTTATTTGTACATATATACGCGTATAAATAAAGAACACAACGACGACGACGTTGAGAGGATGGCACACCGGGCCATGGCGGTGCCTTGATCTGGGCACTGGGCCTCGGTTCCTCGTAGGCGGCAGCTCCTGCTTTGACTGGGCTACCACCTTGGAGCCTGATGCTTCGATCACAGTGGGCCCTAGTGAGCGACAGCGCCATCATTTTTCTGGGGCTCCTTCATGCACCGATCGAACGGCGTGCCAGATTCCCATGGCTCGCTGCTGACCCGCCCAACCCGCCTCCACAATATCTGGATTTCTGCGAATCGGACTGCGATCCTCCCCAATACCAACAATCCATGTCGTCGTCATCATGCATGTCTATACTCATCACATTATGATGTTCCATAACGCGGCACACGGGCCTCTGTGGTGCGGGCTGCGGGCTTTCCGCGGTGCCGCGGCTCTCTAGACACAAATAAATAGGGACTACAGACTAAAGACGAAATGCTTTGCTGACCACAATGCCGTGAGCGTCTTAAAAGAAAGAACAATAGTATTTCCTCGTTGATAGAATACAAATTCTGAAACTACAACATACTAGTGGCGCACATCACTGAATTGACATACGCAATACAGAAAATAACAGTGTGTCTCTTGAACGCAAAACAAAAAAAATGCACATAATTGGGGGCTTTTTTGTTTTTAAAACCACATTCAAAAGCCGAAACTAAACCAACGTTTGCTGAAACTCGTGGTATATCGTGTGCATCGTTCCGTAAAGAGTATCAAGCGAAAACACCACCCAGAAAATTTGACGTTGATAGACACCTCGAGACACTGGCTTTCATGTGAAACACGCTTTAAGCGTGTTTCAAATGCAGCGGTTTTGGCACTAGAGCGGCGCGATTTCTGCAGTCTCAGCGCTCTTGCCAGTACCAGCGGTTGAGCTGCACGAGCGCCGCGACGGCAGAAATCGCGGCATGTGAAACACGCTTTAAGCCGGATTCACATCGTGCGATTTTCTTCCGCGAGATCGGTGGAGCGATGAACCGCACATGCGAAATTTCACATTCCCCTTCACATTGTTTGAGAACACATGCGAGTTTTGCGAAGCACATGGTCGGAAGCATTGGATTTGTTTGAGGTAACTATCTTCAATATCTAAAAAAATATTAAAAGAAAAAAAATTATTAGTTTGTTACGTTCTGGCAAAAAGTACGTGCTATATTTATATTTAGGGCTGATTGAGACATCTGCATCTGCTGTGTTCGCCGCAACGAAAACGACGAAAACAAAGAATGCAACGAATATGACAAGGACACCGGGACAAATGCAGCTCATAACTGCTTGAGCAAGCTAGTTGTTGCGTTGCTTGGCATGTCGCGTAAAGCGAACAATCGTCCCGGTGGCTTCGTCACGTGGACGATGTTTCATATTGAAAGAGTGCAAGCAGCAGCGTGCCTTGTCTTTCGTAGAGCATGATGGCCGATACTCTAGATGATGACGAGTTCAGGCTGCTCTGTGTGTGTCTGTGTTCTTCCTTAATGTGTTTTATTCTTTCTGTGTATTCTAGAGTTTTCAACGCGCTCTGCTACGTGTGCTCTGTAAAAAAGAAATACCTAGTTCTGCGGAAGAAAAAACTGCTGCTCCTAGACGGAAACTCGCGGCGTTGGTGGTTCCGGCCGTGCTGGCAAAACAGAGCCACGGAATCGGAGTTTTACTCATCGGTAAGTCGACTTGTGTTTTTCCGCGAGCAGGTTTCTGGGATACTTTTTCTCTGCTGACCCTTTTTATGCTTCATGGAGACCCGGAGCAGTTTCTAAGATATTACCGGATGAGGCCCAACCCTTTTGAAAGACTCCACGCCCTCGTGGAAACGAAGCTCACGAAGCAGCATGTCGTGAGAGAGCCCATTTCGTTGCAGGCGCGGCTTGCTATCACTTTCAAGTAGAATGACCTTCTTTTTAAACCGCAACGTTTAGAGTGAATACGAGCTCAAATTAAACAGGTTTATAGGAAGAACTCATTACTAGTTTCTCGCTTCCAGACATTAATATACACAGCAATGTTTTGTTTTCATTCAGGTACCTGTCATCAGGAACGTCAATGCAGGACCATTGACTGCAAATCAAGGTTGGCGTGTCAACAGTGGCATTTATCGTGCATGAGATATGCCAATATTTATGAAAGGTGCTTCGCCCAAAATACATGAAGGAAAAACGAAACATATTATATCGTTCTTGGCAACTTGCAGAAAAGAGGACGGTTTCACATGGTGCGAATTTAGTTGCGATTTCGCAGGTACGACGACGCTGTTGCAGTAAACAGGCAGGTTCAGTGCAATTACAAAATATTCGGAGCTGCGTCGACTGTCAAATATCTTTTGCGGAGTCACCAGCGACGGTATTATGGTACGAAAAGACAACCAATAAAAATGCGGCTCATCCAACATGTACCGTATGCTTAATGGCGTTCATATGCCGTGAAAGAGTCGCTGGCGTATCGTAATCATCAAACACTTCGTATAGAGGTTGCATGCACTGGCGGCCATTGCTTGCGCCGGCTGTTGTTGAGCATGTGCTGTCAGTGAGCTTGCACAACGCGTCTACAACGTATAGTTCCCACCGTCAAGATTGATCATCTTTGAAAGCAAAGCGTAGCAGTCCTTTTTGAGCTCGCGTTGCAAACAATGCCCGCCAATATGGCGTCCAGTAAATACTGCCTTTAAAGATGTAGGACACTTGGAACATCAAGTTTCATGGTGGTGGTATTGGGCAAGTGACGAATTTAGATTTCCGGTGTACTCTCTCCAGACTCTACCAAACCATGGAATCATCCAGAATTCTAAGTCAGTGTGTATTGCAATTTTTCTGGGGGAGGGGGGGAAGGGGAAGGGGGGGGAGGGGGAAGGGGTGGCCTTAGGTCTGTATACGTTGCTCAAGAAATTTAGGAGGGTGTTGCGCCCAACCTCGGAATAATTAGAAGGGTGATGGAAGTTGGCGCCTTTAGATTTATATAAATTGCTCAATAATTTTTTTTTTTGGGGAAGGGGGGTGGTTGTCGTACATAACCTGGAGGTAATTACGGGAGGGGGGTAAGGGGGTGTACAAATCACTGCACCAAACTCGTTCTCAGCAACTCTTCCTAACTAGACAGGATCACAAATATTAAGGCTAATTCTGCGGTTCCACGGGTTTATATCCGCAGCCGAAATATTTAGCCGCTAATAGCTCATGATCCAAGAATGCTGACAGAAACATAGAACATTGCTTTGAATGCAGAAGCCGCTCAGTGCAATCTGGAAAATGAATCATGTTTAAAGCCGTACTGTCAAAAATGGTTTCTAAAAAAGTTTCCACAAAAGAGAGCCATTGATTTATGATCATAGGAACGAACTTGGGGAAGGGAGAGCTGCAGACCTGAGGATGTTGAGGGCCCCAGTGCTAATACTGCGCCAACTCCTAAAGCTGGGGTCACACATTACGGATCCTACGATTACAGCTTGCAAACTTTGATTCTGAGCAACACAACATTCCTAGTTTGTATGTGCGCACGGCAACAATTTCAAGAAATAGCTTGGAACGCGGCTTATGGAACACAGATTCGACGGTGAGTCGCACTCGATCGATGTCTACAGGCTGTTTTTTCTTTTTTTTGTCTTTTGTATAATCAGTGTGACACCGGCCTGACTCCGGCATGATATGCAAGCTTACAAAACTAAGTGGCGAGTGCCTGGAGCTGAGCTGGTTGGTTAAAGATAATTCTAAATTTTCCAGCTGAACGTAGATTGCCTGCATTTTTACGAAGAAAGCAACCGCAAGCCTCGCGTGGTACGCAAACGCCAATAGATCCCTTTCGAAATACGGCTCTATGTTGTCAGCTGCGAAATGCCCGCACAATGGCGGACTAAAACCTCAACGTCACGGCACACTAAAAAAAAAAACACACCCACAAAAAAGGGATGAGCGCAGTGACGTTGCACTTTCGACGCTCTCTGATTGGCTCGCCTACTCGTAGTGTTGGCCGCGCTCCGACGTTCGCTATCTTATGGAATGACCTGCACGTTCCTCGATGTAGTTGTTCCGCCATTGTGCAGGGGTTTCGACCTTCTAATAATCGGCACGCGACTTTTGAAAGGGGTCTATTTGTTTTAATGCCGAACTGAAATTTACATCCCCCGGCGAAAAACGTTGACTCATGCTAAGCACATTCGCCGCCCTACCCCTGGAGCGAATTTTGAAGAGAACAACGTAAGTGACGCCTTTTTCGTATTTTTCATTCCCACCCTACTATGACCACCATGACGTCTTTCACGAGCCGCGTTTTATTGGTTGTCCGTCCCCTTCGGAAGAGGGGCGTCGCAAGGAATGTTACCTCTCGCGAATTTGTCAAATTCGTACCGCAACTGTGTTGTGTCGCAAGAACGGCGTCGCAGTTGCGAAATCTCAGGCAAATTTGCACCATGTGAATCAGGTGTTACGCGTTCACCATTCGCAAAAGCAGACCACACAAGATTCAAAACATATTTCGATCGAACACACGGAACTATAAAATCGTGGTCGGCTTTCCAACGCGCGCACCACCCAATGTGATAAAAATAATAATAATAATATTAATAATATTAAAAGCAATAACGCCGTTGGTTCAAACGAAGTTTTCGCCAAACGTGGCGAGCTGCGCATTTTTTTTTTCTGGGTAATTCGACTATAGCGCCGCCACAAACTGTCAACATTCGCGCCCTCACGAGATCCTGTTGCAGAGCCGCTCCGGTCCCAACACTACCCAAGTATTCTAGTACACTGTAGTAGCGTAGCGCGTCGTCGTAAAATGTCTACGACAGATGATGATGATAGCTTTGCGTCAACTGACGCGGTCCTCCCTTTTGTCAGGGCTGGATTCGACGCTGTAAGCGTTCTGTCTAATGCAAAAATAAAAAAAAAAGATGTGCTGACTTGAATGTATTTCCCCTAGTGAAGTACTTGGCTGCTGCTTGCTCTAATAGACCCTCTCCAAAAGTCTGTCTGGCCACTCAGATCACTATCGTCTAAAAAAAATGGCGTATATGTCGTACTAATGGCGGCCTTATGTTTACTGATGACGGAATAAGTTGAAGAAGCTCCTACACTGATGATTCAAGGCCATTACATTCGAGACGTTAGCACGGTGCGAATCAGGAACTGAATGCAAGATCTGCGTTGGCGTTAATTTTAAACTCGGTCCTGGTCAATCTGTTAGTAGCGCACAATCGGCTTTAAAGCAAATTGATATATAGAACTTTATCAAGGCGCGTGTATCCGTTGGCGCTTCGTTTTGACTGGTGGCATCTTTACGGCCAACGACACAGATGGATTGAAAAAGAATTGTACTGTGAAAAACATATTCTCGTATGCCGTTGACTAGCGAATGTGATGGTGCCCGATACAATACTGCAGACTACAGGTTCATTGCCACCATTAGTAAGACAAAAGTTAAACTGTAATTTCAACCACCAGATGGCAATGAATTCCGTAAAGGGTCTATTCATTCGTCGCCTGACATTGTATTTGGAAGAAAACTAGCGTGTTTTTTTAGGTTATGAACGTGAATGATTCTAAATGGTATTTAGAGAAGGCAAAATAAAATTGTTGCATCTTCCCTTTAGTGCTTTACAACGAGTAGTCAAAGTAATCATCAATGAACTCTACATATAAATTAAAAATATAGACAAAACTTTGTTTTCTCTATAAGAGCGCAACAACTTTACATAAAAATCTGTGCTTGATTCAGTGCTATTCTTACACTACAGGATAAAATCATGTATGTTCAATTCACTGTCGAAGTTTTTTTTCCTTGGTAAGCATGGCGTTTTGTTTTCAAATGTGAGGTAAGGCTGTGGCGTTTTTGGTACATTTGTATATTTTTTTGAGTATTGCTTGTTCAAAAGCAGACACCGTCAGCTGACAAACTAACGTATTCGGTCTACAAGAACGATTTCCATCTTTCGCTACGCTGTCAAAACCGGTTGGTATTGCCCGAGCTGTAAGCCAACAGCGGAATAACATTTTTGAACTAACGAACAAGTCACAAAATTACTCAATATCTCTCACAAGCAATCATAAGTAATGAGCTGGAATAACGGTTGAAGAAAACGTCTACCCTAGCAGATGCTATGATTCGAACGCCTATGAGATTGCCGAACCACCCATTAAGATCTAGCGATGAGTAGCTGAAGCGCGAAGAGTCAAACATTCTAAAAATCAGCCCCGCATTGTACTCCTAGGCCCGCTAATTTCTATTTGATATTAACGTCTGCTTCAAATCAAATTAAACTATTCGAATTCTGGAGCACGATGACGTGCTTACTTACAAAGGCAATGGCTGGTAACGAATTTCCGACGTCTTTACGCGTGGGCGCGTGCTGAATCAGGGTGCCACGTTGTCTTCCTCTTACGATTTTTTTTAAAGAAGTTATTGTGACAAGAGTCACTAGCATTCTAATTTTGTTGTATGCATGCTTCAAAAGCTGGCACTTCGTCAGCTTCAATGGGCGACTGGTCCCTCCTCTGTCGGATGAGAAATTTATCCTGTGCGCTACAACCGCTAGCATGGGTTTTTTAACACGCACCACGCAATAGTGATACACGAGAGCACGCCAGTACACTTTTCCATATCGAAACAGACAGGGTGGTGAAAGAATCTAAACATAGGAACTTTTCTTGGCATTGAAGCAAACGCTGTTTCTTCCCTTAAGTTAGCACCATTAAACCCCAATCACAGCCGTGCCCGCACGGTCTTCACTTATTTAGAAATGACAAAAATTTGTCGCCACTTATAGGATCTTTGGTGTCTGCAGCGCGAGCTTTCGCGACACGCGCTCCCACCTGCGGAGTCGCTACGCTGGGCAAACACAGCGTTGAAATCAAACTATGAACCATTTATTGAACCTCTTCTTTTCATCGACACATTAATTCC